CACAGGTGTGAGGCACTGGGTTCAATCCTCAGCACCACATAAGGATAAATAAACAAAATGGAAGTATTGTATGTATCTATAATATTAAAAACAAATAAACAAAAAACAGTGATTAGTCTTCAAAAAATTTTTTTTGCAAGAAGTTTAAATAGAAAAATCATAAGAGGAGAAAAGCATTGTGTCATAGTTTAATTGCCAGGGGTTTTGCTTTCTTCCTGGCAAATAAGATAATGGTGTGTCTTAGCATTGTTGGTGGCTTTTACTTTTTTTAAAAAAATATTTTTTTTTAGTTATAGGTGGACACAATATCTTTATTTTATCTTTCTGTGGTGCTGAGGATCGAACCCGGCGCCTCACACATGGTTGGCGAGCACTCTACCTCTGAGCCACAACCCCAGCCCCTGGTGGCTTTTACTTGATGAAATAAAGTAATAGCTTTACTGGAAGGAAAAAGAATCACCACTGTGAAAGTAAACATAGGTTACATGATGCACTCATATTTCAGAAATAGTTTTTTAGAAAATCCTAAACCAAGAAACAAACAAAAAACTGAGTCAGAATCGAGAAAATATATTTGCTTTTGGCCAGTGGATGAAGAAAGAGATAGACCATAAATCTCTTCCTGTTTTATGGATAGTAGGGATTTTGTAACCCAAATAAAACAATTTTTTTCCTGATTCCAAAAGTAATGCTGTTGGAAGCAACCCAAATATCTTATTAACTGATGAACGAAGAAACAAAATGTTATAATCCCCCAAGTGGAATATTATTCAACCATAAAGGGGTGAAGTACTGATACACACTATGACATAAATAAATCTCAAAAACATTATACTAAAAGAAGGCAGACACACAAGGCAACATATTGTATAATTTACTTATATGAAATTTAAATTCAGAATGGTTAAACACACAGAGAAAGAAAGCAAGTCAGTGGCTGCTAGGGGCTGGAGGAGGAGTGAATGAGGAATTCCAATTAATAGCTATAAAGTTTCCTTTCTGGGAAACAGAAATATTTTGGAACTAGATGGTGGTGACTGGATGTACCACATTGTGAATGTCCAAATGCTGCTGAGTTGTAGCATATAAAATGGTTAAAGTGGGAAATTATGTTATTTGTATTTTACCACAATGAAAATAAATAAATAATCCATGTAATACTTGTTGAAAAAAATTTAAAATTCCTAATTGTAAAAAAAAAAAAAAGAAAAAAAAAAGAGAAAGTAAATGCAATATTAGCATTAGAATGTTAAGTTCCTTGGTGGTTGGAACACACCACTTACTATTTGTTGCTTTTTGCCTCACTGAATTGAGGCTTATTAGTGGGGCTCACAGTCCATCAGACACCCAAAAGTTCTTTCTTCTACCTTTATGGGGCCACTCCCATCCTTTGTCCTACTTCAGTGGATCTACTAGAATCAAAAGGCTGGGCAACTGGTCATTCAGAGCCTTTTTGAGTGTTTTCTGCTGCAGCTTCCAGAAGTCTTGGGGGTGTGGGGGCTCACTGATCTCTCTAGCTTGAACAGACACTTCAAACCCTCGTCCATCTCCTTAGACACCACCTGGGGACTTGGGATTCAGAGAGAAAGACAAAGAGTCTGTACAACTTCCCCTAGGAAGCTTCAGGGGCAGGAGGAGGACCTCCTTTCTTGGCATGGACAAGTTGACCAGAGACACCTCAGGGGCAGGAGAGGACAGAGAAAAGGTTCCTAGTGGCTGAAGCTTGAAAGGTGTGAAGTTAGACATGCAAACTTCTATTTTCCGAGAACCATCATTTTCTCCAGCTTTCTCTACACTCCACCCCAGAAGCAGCAGTTCATCTTTGCATCTAGATTGGTTTTGAGTAAGTAGGGTGAGGGGTGAAGAGATGGACAAGGCCAGGAGACCTTCGTGGGAGGAGCTAAAGGATTTAGCTGTGTGGGAGGAGCTAAAGGATTTAGCTGGTGTTGAAAATTTGAAGGCTTCAGGGTTAGAGGTGGGCTGAGGGGTCAGGACACAGAAGGGCTTTATCCTAAGAACAAGGTGAACCATTCGGATGCCCCATTTCCCTTCCTGCATCTGGGAATATTTAAGAAGACATTTGCTCCCTGTAAAGGCCAATTGTATCTGCTTGACAGTTTTCCCAAAAGATGAATCCTCTTGTCTTCAAGTTCGTTCAGTTGGAGTTGAAGTGGCTCTGAAGCTAGCAATCAGCAGAGGCCCCCTCTCCTGTCAACTTCAAATCATGTCAGGGAACAAGCTCATTCTTCTGTCCTGGTACTTTGTGTTCAGATGCCTGTCTCCTAAGTTACATTTCCATCACAGAGCATGTGCTTCTCACACTTTCAATGTGCCAAGTTAGACACGTTGTCACTCAGACCCTTGCCCGGGGTTATAATGCAGGCTGTTGGCAGGGCTGAGGATCTCACTCTGGTTCAGTGTGTGGACTTTCATTTAGCTTCCTGGTTTGGGGTGTGCATTTCCCTCACTCCATTCTGAGGGTGCTGGGGTTTAGAGACTAAATTTCCTGGAGGTGGGGGAAAGATTGTTGTCATCTTATGTCTGCCTGAAGAAGGGATCAGTTTCAATGTAAAGGGAGCCATTTATGGACTTTGAATCAACCTCCCTGCTTTAGTTTTGAATCTGTTCTCCCTTTTATGATTTTTTTTTTTGTAGTGGGGATTGAACTGGCCCAGGGGCACTTAGCCACTGAACCACATACCCAGCCCTTTTTAAAATATTTTATTTAGAGACAGGGTCTCACTGAATTGCTTATTGCCTTGCTATGTTGCTGAGACTGGCTTTGAACTTGCGATCCTTCTTCCTCAGCCTCTCCAGTTGCTGAGATTACAGGTGTGTACCATGGCACCTGTCGTGTGATAATCTTTTCTTTCCAGTTTCTGAGCATTTTTGGAGTTCTGTTTAGAAAATATCTTGATTCTCATTAGTATTCTTTCAGGTACTCATGTTTCTCCTCTGCCTTTCAGTTATCTTCCTCCACCTTCTCTGTTCTGATCTGGGTTTCTGATGGTTCTTTTTAATGTGCCTCTTCAAACAATATTTAAATAATTTTTTTATTGATATAATAATTGTACATATTATGGAGTACAATGTGTGATTTTTCTTTTTTATTTGTTCTACAATATGTGTTTTGATACATGTATACACTGGGTAATGATCAAATCAGGGTCATTAGCATATCCATCCACCTTAAACATTTGTTATTTCTATGTTGTGAGAGTGTTGGAAACCTTCTCTTCTAGCTATCTGAAATACACAGTGCATTATTGTTAGCTTTAGACATCCTACTGTGCCATAGAGAGCCAGAATTTATTCCTCTAACTATAACATTACACCTGTTGACCAACCTGTTCTCAATCTCCCCATCTCCCTTACTCTCCCCAGCTCTGGTAAATGCTATTTGATTCTCAACTTCTATGATATCAACTTTTTCAGCTGCCACATATAAGTGAGCTTGTGTGGTACTATGCCTGGCTTATTTCATTGAACATAATGTTCTCCATGTTGTGGGATTTTATCCTTTTTATGGGTGAACAGTAGCCCACTGTGTATATGCACCACATTTTTAAAATCTAATCATCGGGTAGGAATTTAGTTTGATTCTGTATCTTTGCTCTAGTTCTGTGATAAACATGGGGGTGCAGATGTTCTTATGATATACTGACTTCATTTCCTTTGGATATATATCCAGAAGTGGGCTTTGCTGAGTAGTTCTACTTTCAGTTTTTTTTTGGGGGGGGTACTGGGGATTGAACTCAGTGTAACTGAGCAACATCCCTGGCCCTTCTAATTTTGAAACAAGTTCTCCCTAAGTTGCCCAGGCTGGCCTTGAAATTGCAATCCTCCTGCCTCAGCCACCCTCATAACTGGGATTATAGGCATGTGCCACCATGCCCAGTTCATTTTTAATTTTTTGTGGAATCTCCATACTGATTTTCATAATGACTATACCAATTTAGGCTATTTTACCTCATGTCATGGCCAATGTCTTGAGGAAGCTGATAATTATCCTTCTATAAAAAGGAAGGAAGGGCTGGGGATGTGGCTTAAGCAGTAGCTTGCTCGTCTGGCATGCGCAGGGCGCTGAGTTCAATCCTCAGCACCACATAAAAATAAAGATGTTGTGTCCACTGAAAACTAAAAAATTAAAAAAAAATCTCTCTCTTAAAAAAAAAGAAGGAAAAAATCACCCTAAAATTTAATATCTGACAGACCACTACTCTGGCAGGGCACTCCATCCTCATGAAAACAATTAGAGAATCTGATATAATATAATTAGTGTCTTGATTTTGTATGTTCCAGAAAAGTAATAATCAAGATGGCCAGGTGCGGTGGTGCACGCCTGTAATCCCAGTAGCTCAGGAGTCTGAGGTAGGAGGATCTCGAGTTCAAAGCCAGTCTCAACAGAAGTGAGGTGCTAAGCAACTCAGTGAGACCCTGTCTCTAAATAAAATACAAAAATAGGTTTGGGGATGTGGTTCAGTGGTCAAATGCCCCTGAGTTCAATCCCCGGTACTGAAAAAGAAAAAAAAATAAAAAGAAAGAAAGAAAAAAGAATCTGAATGGGCTGTGTTTTGGTGGCCACATCATGGAGAAAGAGGTTTGGACAGAAGTAGTGATTGGCCTGGAAAAGCATGGCCTGGAGTGGGAATGGAAGAGTCTAGAAAGAGCATTCAAAGAAAGGTGGGAGGTAAACTTGATGGTGAAAGTTGTAGCCCAAGAATTTGTTTGGGAGTCAGGAAGTTATCAGGTTCCTTGCTGCCTCCCTTTCCGGATCTGTGAAATGGCTTTCACAAGAGGAGAGTCACATGGAGAACAAAGCACATTTGCTACATATTTATAGTTAAGAAAAACCAAAGAGAACTGCAAGGCATTTATTCACTAAATATGAAAACTTTCATCTCTCACTCCACCCCAGCCTGGAGACCTTGGTTATAAAGAACTAATGTAATAACTGTGTTGCACATGTTTTTCCTCTGGTCTGTTTCTTATTCCTCTAGAGAGAGAGAGAAGTATGGACATTTAGACCTCAACTGGAGGCATTGATTGGAAGGATTTCTCCCAGAGTTGGCCCACTCGGAAACCAGGTAATCGGAGCTGGAGGAAAGAGGCACCCCCCACCCCATCCCACCAACTTGTTAGCACACACAACACAAAGCTTTTAACTCCAATCAGAAGGGTCAGTTGTCTTGGTGTGTGAGCTGGGGCTGCAGGCAGTTGGGCTGGGTGGAAAGTAGATGGCTGGCATAAGCTCTTTTTCTTCAGAGTCCAGAATCCGTTGGGGTGGGGTAGGGGGAGGAAGGGAAATTTGCCAAAACGGGGAAGGAGAAGCTAGAAATGGGTGGAGTGTGCTAGGAATGTGCTTGAGATGATCAGAAGCTGAAGCCTCTTTTCATAGGACCCTGGCTATTGGGTGGTTGATGTGTTTTTCCAAACTCCAAACTCCCCGTGATTCAGTACTGTGGCTTTAGTAATTACCAAAGTACTACTTTGCCCTGGGTGTAGATGGCCAATTACCTCAAACTGTCCAAAGGGCCCAGAAATCTCAAATAAGGACCAAGTTCCCCAAGGTCAGAGAATGGGCTGACCCAATTTTAAGAAGTTTCAGGTGTTGCTCTGAAGACAACATGGCTTTGTGTGGATGTATGGAAGTGTGGGAGAGGAATGGATTTGGTGGATATTTTTTTTTTGTAAAACAGTTTTATTGAGATATAATTCATGAACCATACAATTTATCCATTTAAAATGTACAAATCACTGGTCTTCAGTGTATACACAGGGTTGTGCAATCATCATCAGTCAATCTGATAAAATTTCATTACATCAAAGATAAATCCCATACCCTGTTGCTATCACCCCCTCTGCCCACCCCCACCTCAGCCTCAAACAACCACGGATGTAGTTCCTGTCTCTATGATTTCCCTATACAGGCCTTTCACATGAATGGAATCATAGTATGTGGTCTTTGTGTCTGACTTCTTTCACTTGGTATGTTTTCAAGGGTCACCCGTGTTGCAGCATGTATCAGTACTTCATTCCTTGCTATGGTGGAATATTACTCCATTGTATGTATATGCTACATTTTGTTTAATCCACTCATTGGCCATTCAGGTTGTTTTTTTTTAACCTTTTGGCTAAAATGATAATGTTGCATTAATTATTTGTCTGCAAGATTTTTGTGAGGAGGTACGTTTTCATTTCTCTTGGGCATTTACCTAGTTGAATATGATAACTCCACGTTTAACCATTTGGGAAACTGCCAGACCGTTTTCCACAGCATAAGTACCTACCATTTTGTATTTTCACAATCAATGTATTAGAATTTTAGTTGCTCCACATTTTCTAGCTAATGCTTGTTCTTTTTTGTCTGTGAAGTTGTAAAAGTTCTTTATATATTCTAGGTACTATTCCTGTACCAGGTATATGATTTGCAAGTATTTTTTTTTCATTTTATGGGTACTCTTTTCGTTTTCTTGATGTTGAACTTTGAAGCATTAAAGTTTTTAATTGTGATGGAGTCCAATTTATGTATTTGTTGTGTTGCTCATGCCATACCCAGAATTTTTTTTTCCAAATCACAGTGTTGTAAATATTTGCCCCTATTTTTTTTTTTTGCTAAGAATTTTATAGTTTTAGTTCTTAAATTTAGGTCTTCGATCCATTTTGAATTAACTTTAAAAAATTTGAGACAAAATTCACATAACATACAATTAATGTGTATGATTCAGTGACATTTAGTACATTTATAATGTTGTGAAACCATCACCTCTCTTTGATTTCAAAACTTTCACCACCCAAGAACAAACCATTTCATCTAAAAACTACTGTCTATTAGCCCTTGCTCCTGAAAAACGACTAGTTGATTTCTGTCTCTATGGATTTTCTTTTTCTGGATTTTAATATAAAGGAGTTTTACAACGTATTACCTTTTGCATTCGGTTTCTTTCAGTTAGCATAATGTTTTCGGGGATCTTCCAAATTATAGCATCTATTAGTACTTCATTTCTTTTTTATGGATCAATTATATTAATTGTATATCATAATAGTCAGCTTTCTGTCACTGTGACGAAATACCTGAACTAATAAACTTAGAGATAGGAAAACTTTATTTTGGCTCACAGTTTCAGAAGATTCAGTCCATAGTCATTTGGCTGTGTTGCTTTTGGGCCGTGGCAAGGTGGTACATCATGGTAATTCTGTTTAACATCTTGAGGAACTGCCAGACTGTTTTTCATAGCAGTTGCTTCATTTTCCATTCTTGCCAGCCATGCATGAGAGTTCCAATTTCTCTAAATCTTTTTCAAGACTTATTTTTTTCTGTTTTTAAAAATTTATTATAATTGGGCATAGTGGTGCATGTTTATGATACTAGCTACTCTGGGAGCTGAGGCAAGAGGATAGCAAGTTTCAAGCTAACCTTGGCAAGTTAGTGAGACCCTCTCTCGAATAAAAATTAAAAAGGGCTGGGGATGTTGCTCAGTGGTAAAGTGCCTCTAGGTTCTGGGTTCGATCCCTAGTACTGGGAAAAAAATATTGTAGGCATCCTCGTGGGTATTAAGCAGTGTTTCATTGTCATTTTGATTTGCATTTCCTTAATGACCAGTTGAGCTAATTTTTGCATATGGTGTGAGGATAAGGATCCAACTATATTCTTTTGCCTGTGCCTACCCAGAACCATTTGTCCAAAGGACTATTCTTTCACCATCTAATATCTTGGTACCTCTGTAGAAAATTAGTTGGCTGTAGGTGTATGGGTTTATTTCTGGACTTAATTTTAGTTTTATTTCATTGATCTACATGTCTATCTTTGTGCTAGTTATCACACTGTCTTCACTGCTGCTTTGTATAAGTTTTGAAATCAGGGAATGTAACTCCTCCCATTTTGGTCTTTTCCAGGATTGCTTTGACTACTTGGCGTCCCTTGAAACTCTGTGAATTTTACAATCATCTTGTCAATTTCTATAAAGAAGTCAGAAAGGATTCTGATTAGTTTTTTGTTGAATTTTTAGGTCAGTTTGGGGAATTTTGCCATCTTACCAGTGCTGTCTACAGATTCATAAACAGTGGATGCTTTTCATTGATTTAGATCTTTAATTTCTTTCAGCACTGTTTTGTAGTTTTCAGAGTAGAATAAAATTTTTGTAGTTCTTTTGTTAATTTTATTCCTAAGTATTTTAGTCTTTTTGATGCCATCATGAATAAATTATTTTTCTAAATTTAATTTTAAGGTTATTTATCACACTTATGTAGAAATAGAATTGATTTCTGCACATTGATCTCATATTCTACAACCTTGCTGAACTTATTAATTATTCTTAATAGATTTTTTAAACTTGATTTCTTTGGATTTTCTTTATACAAGATCATGACATGATAAAATCATATTATCTCTGAATACAATTTTACTTTTTCCTTCCAATTTGGATGTGTTTTATTTATTTGTCTTGCCCAGTTGTTCTGAGGAGTGGAGTCTTAAAGGGCCAAGAAGACCAAAATATACTAGACCAATCTATGGAGAGAAGTTAAAAAAATGTACCCATTATGGGTTCAGGACGATCAGGCCTACATCCATCCATTTATCCCCAAAATGTATATGGGGTATTCATTGTGTCCTAAAAATCTGATAAGAATACCATTATCTTCCTCTTGAACTAATGCACTGCCTTTTCAATGAAGACTTGACTTATTTTTGACATGTTCTTTTAATAGGCACCAGGGACAGGAGTGGCCCACACTGAGCTTAAGGTCTAACCAGGCATTCAGACAAGCCAAACCGGTGATTATATGCTCATGAGAACATCACAGTCTATGGGAGCCATATCCAGAGTGATAGAGGGAGGTGAGAGAGAGTGTTGAGGGAGAGGAAGGGGGAAAAGATTTCCAGAGGAAGTAGACTGGATTGGGACATCTTGAAGAAATAGGCAATGGGCCCAAATGTGTTTTAGGCACACACTGAAGCTCTAGCTGGCGTCTGCCAGGACAGTCTTTCCAGGGAATTCTACTTCCCTATTCAACCAGTGTGCAAATAGGATTGTGTGGACTGCAGAAAGGGGGGGTGGTGGTCTTTAGAGGACTCTGGAAGATCGTGTGAGGTTAAGAGAGGAGAAACAGAGAAAAAATATGGATGGGACCAACCAGGAAGCATAAATATGACTTCTACTTGGCCTTTTGAGAAAAATGACCCATCCTTCTCTTTCTAGTATCCATTTCCTCTGGGTTTATTCTGTAATGTGACTTTACTCTCTTGAGCTCTGCTCCACTCGAGTCACAGGGCCTCAGTTCAAATCTTAACTGAGGTAGTCACCGGTGTCTTCTTTACTGTGTTCAGTTGAACAAGTCCTAAGCATGTCATAAAAATGTCTGATGGCAGGGTGACCAATTATCCAGGTTGCCTGGGACTCCAGATTTCATCACTGAAAGTCCTGCAATTTGGGAGACTCCTCATTTTCAGGCAAATTGGGATTCTTGATAATTTAGTATGGCCCTAGATAGGAGCAGTCTTCAAAGGAAGTTCATTACACATCCAAAACCAAAACCAGAAAGGTTTCGGTGCCTCTGGGAGATATTACAGTCTATTGTTGACTAGCCTGGAATTGGAATTATTAAGATCTAAGTTAGACTTACAGCCCTGCCAGTTACCAGCTTCCAGCCTCTAGCTTCCAGCTTCCAGATTGGTTAGCTGTGGATAGTGCTGAGTCTCAGCTTTCATGTCCGTGGAGCTGTGGGAATAATGTTCTCAGAGGATTGTCTAGAATGAGAAAATGCCTCCAAAGTGCCTGACACAGATTTTGAAATATTGTAAGTGACCAAAAAAATGATCCACATTTTTGTTCAGAGGTTGACAAACTGTAGCTGGTGGGCCAAACCCTGCCAGCCTCCTATTATTGTAAATAAAGTTTTATTGCAACAGTCGCACCCTTTTGTTCACGTATTGTCTAAGACTGCTTTCAAGCTACAAAGGCCTAGTTGAATGGGTGCAGTTGAGTACATATGGACTGCAAAGCCCAAAATATTTATTTTCTGGCCCTTTATAGAAATAGTTTGCCCATTCCTGGGCAAATCCTGTTAATATTACCAGGTGTGGTTG